CTCGCTGGCACGCAGTCAGGTAGTCGAGGTGGCACAATGTCTGTTCGATTGATAGGAAAAATATCTTTCGCGAGGGGGACAAGGGTTCTGAAGTTTGGAAGGAACATGCTTTTGTGGGAGGGGGCCAAGGGTTTCTAGGTTCAGAGGGGACAGGGCTTTGAGGTCAGAGGGGACAAGGGCTGTGGGGGCAGAGGGGACAGGGCTGTGGGGGCAGAGGGGGACAGAGGGGACGAGAAGAGGCGTCAGCGTCGGGCACTCTCGCTGGCTCACGCCCCCCCCCCCCGGCCCTGGTGGCTTGGTGCCTGTGTGGCTCCGAGGAAACGGGCGCCCCCCCAGGAGAGCGGGGTGCGGAGGGATGACTCCCTGGGGATCAGCTGGCGAGGACTCGGGATCCCTGCCGCCCCGAGAACCTCACCCACCAGGGCCACAGGGAGCTGGCGCTGACGGTCGGCGCACTTGGGGAGGCCGAGCCGGGACCTGGGTGATGCAGGTGGGGAAGGTCCTGGACTCAGAGACAGAAGAGGTGGCAGCGTGAGGAGCCCTCAGGGCAGAGGGGCGGGTGCCAGCAGAGGACCTGCCGCCCACAAAGAAGACCGGCCAGGAAGCGAGTGCGGGACCCGGGCAGGGAGGTCAGGGAAGGGCAGGGCCCGGGGCAGCGGGAGAAGCAGAAAAAGACCTGAGTTTATGGCAACTTCCTCCCAGGCTCCTGTCACCTGACAGGTGATTCTCACACACTGAGTCCTCCAAGCAAACAGACTCCAGGCACCCAGGTCGTGGGCACCAGCAGGGCCCAGGGCCTGGACGGCTGCCCGCCTCCCGAGGGCGCACAGCGTCCCAGGGAAAGGGGCGGTCCGCAGTGACGCCCATGTCACAGTGCTGCTCACGCCAGGGGGAGCCTTCACCTGGGACAACCCTGGGCCCCGGCGGCCAGTGTCCAGTCACCTGCAACTGTGGCCCCACGTTAGCGGCGTGAGTCACCCCCAGTCACAGCAGGAGCCCAGTCGCTGCGCAGAGGGCCCTGCGGCCCTGACAGGGGGTCACCCCGGGCTCAGCCGCTCACCCCTGGGCTCAGCCGGTCACCCCCGGGCTCAGCCGGTCACCCCCGGGCTCAGCCGGTCACCCCGGGCTCAGGCGGTCACACTGGGCTCAGCTGGTCACCCCGGGCTCAGCCGGAGACCCTGGGGCCAGTCCGGGGCGGTGACACCCAAGGGACTGTTCCCACCGTCTGAACCAGTGGCTCTGACTCTCCCTCCGTGACGCCCGTGCCCCTCGGGGCAGAGCCCGCGGCAGGACACCCCCCCCCCACGGGGCCGCAGGGAGTCACGCAGCTGTTTCTGTTTGTTCTTCGTCCTCTCCCCATTCTCACCGTACGATATTTTTCCATTGATTCCGGGAGAGAGTGGAAGGGAGGAGGGAGGGGGACAGAAAGAGGGAGAGGGAGAAACATGAATGTGAGAGAGAGACATCGATTGGCTGCCTGCCACAGGCACCCCAACTGGGGCTGGGAAGCTGCAGCCCAGGTAGGTGCCGGGAATCAGACCCCAGACACCGGTGCTCTAACCACTGAGCCACCGGCCAGGGCACAACACGGCTCTTTAAATAAATACGTGTTTCTCAGGCACCAAGAGAAAACCGAACAGCAAACATAAATCCGTCTGCTTACAACCCCAGGAAGCCGCGAGAGAGGTGCCATCGGAGGGAAGGTGACGCCTCATTGGCTGAGCTGCGAGCCCAGGTCACCCACCTGCCGCCTGCGGGCGCTGAGCTGGTCACACGGCGGCTCAGCGAGGGGGGCTCACGGGGGAATTCGGGAAGCAACGCGCCCACAGCCCCAGGGTCGGTCAAAAACAGCAAAAAGCCGGTTTAGCCAAAGAACCTCGTATTGAAAAGATGGAAAAGACAGACACATCGATCAAGTCCTAACTGAGTAAACGACAACAGAACGTCCGCCCTGCGGTCCCTGCGGCCCCTGGGCCTGGCCCGTGCTGGGCCGGGCGCTGAACAGCGCTCTGCTCGCCCGTCCTGGGCACCCACCGCAGGCGGAGACCCGTCACGCGGACGCACGGCAGCTCCAGGCCCAGGAGCTCAGGCACAAATGGGAACACATTCCACGAGGTTAATGGCGGTGAAGACGCCTGTCCCCCTCCAGCCACGCGTGCACCGGGCGTCAGCGCGTATTCATCCCGGCCGCGGCGGCGACTCTAACGGAGGAGACACGCCTGAGCGTGTGGGTGGCTCTGGCCCCGTCTGCCACCTTCCTCTCCCTCCGTAAGGCTTGTTGCTTTCCCTCCAGTAAGATGTCTGGACGCTTCGGAACCATTGAGTTTCCCCTCGTGATGCCCCAAACTCACTTTTTTTAAATATGTTTTTATTGATTTCAGAGAGGAAGGGAAAGGGAGAGATAGAAACATCAATGATGAGAGAGAATCATTGACTGGTTGCCTCCTGCATGCCCCCTACTGGGGATCAAGCCCACAACCCAGGCATGTGCTCTTGACCGGAATCGAACCAGGGACCCTTCAGTCCACAGGCCGACGCTCTATCCATTGAGCCAAACCAGCGAGGGCCTCACTTTTAAAGTGACCAGCCCTTGGTGGGAATGCAGACTGGTGCAGCCACTATGGAAGAGAGTATGGAGTTTCCTCAAAAAGCTGGAAATGGAACTCCCATTTGACCCTGTGATCCCACTTCTAGGAATATATCCCAAGAAACCAGAAACACCAATCAGAAAGGATATATGCACCCAGATGTTCATAGCAGCACAATTCACCATAGCTAAGATCTGGAAACAGCCTAAGTGCCCATCAGCAGATGAATGGATTAGAAAACTGTGGTACATCTACACGATGGAATACTATGCTGCTGTTAAAAAGAAGGAACTCTTACCATTTGCAACAGCATGGATGGAACTGGAGAGCATTATGCTAAGTGAAACAAGCCAGTCAATGAAGGAAAAATACCACATGATCTCACTCTTTCATGGATAATAAAGACCATTACAAACTTTTGAACAATAATAGATACAGAGGCAGAGCTCCCTCAAACTGATTGTCAAACTGCAGTGAGAAGGCCAGGGAGGGTTGGGGGGCAGGAGGGAGGGGGGTAAGAGATCAACCGAAGGACTTGTATGCATGCATATGAGCATAACTAATGGACATAAGACACTGGGCGGTAAGGGAGGCCAGGGGATTGTCAAGGGTGGGGTGCGGGGGAAGGACACATGTAATAAAAAAATTTTAAAAAATAAAAATAAATAAATAAATAAAATTTAAAAAAAAATAAAGTGACCAGCCCTGCGGAAACGCCGGGCACGCAGGTGGATGGAGAAATAGGACTGTTCACTTTCGTTTTCCTGTCCGTCTGCAAACGAAGAGAAGACTAAGTCAGGAAATGGAGAAATTTCGACCCTATGATTCCTTCAAGTTTAACTGCATGTGTTTTATGGTCTCAAAACCTAACAAAACCCACGCAGGCAAGGCTGTTTCACTGTTGATTGAAAAGTAAATTAATATAATTAATCAGGGGCTAAACCCC